TGCCACGTTAATAAATGAAGATAGAAATGTTTTTCTTAAAAAAATGTGTGACTACTACCTCAATTAAAAGCTTAACGCGTAGAGAAAGGACAACTTCTATTTATTTAGTTAAATAGCTCTTCACCCTGTCTCCTCATGTGCGAGTCTGACATAGGCCAAGCAAGTGGTCACAGGTGGCGCAGAGACTCACATCTAGGTTTTTTGCCTACTCTAATACCACATTGAATAATATGACCATCTCAACTGAAATGCTTAGGCTATTAAAGAGGGGATCATTTTATTTATTTTAGGTCTGCAACAATATAAACACGAAATACCTAAATAGGTAAATGCAAGATGCTTTAAGGTGCACAAGAAGAATTCTTGTGAAGATCAAAATGATCAAGAAAGCTAATATTTATAGAAAAGACCAGTAAGCACTCCTGCTCACACCGAAAAGTTCTATACCTAGAGGATTCAATCTTACCGTGAACATGGCAGATATCAAGTCCTTTTAATTTCAAAGAACATATCTTATTGTCTTTCAGCTTCAATAGAGGTGACTACCGTATTCCAGGTAACCCATTGGAGAGGATTATTTATTTATTTATTTTAGGTCTGCAGTACGCAACAATATGAAAACGAAGTATCTAAAGTAAATGCAAGATGCTTTAAGGTGCACAAGAAAAATTATCGTAAGAATCAAAATGATAAAGAAAGCTAATATTTATAGCACAGAACAAGATGCATAACAGCTCCCACCGACAAAGTTCTATCCCTAGAGGATTCAATGGTACCACGAACATGGGAGGTAAGCAAGTCCTTTTAATTTCAATGAACATATCTTATTGTCTTGCTGCTTTAATGGAAGCGATCACCGTATTCCAGGTAACCCATTGTGTTGGCACTAGAATATTGTTATATTTTTAATAGTACAGACCATTTGAATTTATTGTAACAATCCTTCTCACTATCTATCATCCACCTCGAGGACGCCATCACACTGTCAATAGTTCACACAAAGGCATATAACAACATTGATGATCCCTACAATTGGAGACCAAGAAAGATGTGATGCATCACGGAGTCATAAAAGAATAGAGTTAGTGGATCCTACTTATTGAGTCTTGCATAGACATGCATTATCCAATTACAGTGTTGGCAGTGTTTTAACTTTTAACTACAGGCTACATACAGATGCCTTGCAAATAAAGGGAAGCTCAACATGATTCCTTCCAAGTACAACAAAGTTGAAAATCGTCTACAATGGCATTACACTTTCTTTAAGAAGCAACTCATGCCCATGTCAATGCAGGCTGCATCGAACTTCCAACAACCCAAAGAGCAGTGTATCAACTCTCACATAGTGAGGTATGAAATAAGTATTTAAAACATTTTGTTCGAACACCGTAATACAGATGCAAGTTGATAAAGATAGAGGATGAAAATACAAGAAACTGAAACGTTTAAACCAGTGTGGTAGAATTGAACCAATCAACTTATTAATAATACAAACCACAATGGTTCTTCATAGTAGGAAGAGAGGCAAACAACAACATTAAAGTGTTTAAGTAGTCAGTGATCTCCTCATATGGAAAAAATATAAGAATGAGTAGAGAATACTTGAGCCATCAACAGAATTTTTTTTTTTACCTGATATCTTCTCTTATTCTGGGATACAACATGTCGCGCTTTAACCTGCACAGCCTTCACTGCATTCTTTGAAGAGTCAACCAATCCTTTGGTGAATGTTCCAAATAAACTGGTTGGTGATGTTCCATCAAGATGTTCATCTGTAGGAGATGTAGGAGATTTAGGGGACAGACGCATTCCAAGCCCACCAGTTAAACGAGCAAAGGTTGATTTGGGAGCATTTCCGGATGATTGTTCATCTTGGGACCCAGTGAACGGTTGTGGAATTTTTAAATTTTTGGCCCATGACGAGATGCCTGAAGTAGAGATCTTTGAAGGCGCCTCTTCTGTTGACTGAACTGGTGCAGACTCCACTGCAGTAGACCTTGCTACACTTGATGTTGTAACAGGTTGTGAATTTGATACATCAGCAGATCCAGAATCCATTACACCGGGCCAAATTTCTTCACTGCAATGACAGAATATCAGCAAACATGGACTGGAATACCTCACAGCTTAAGCAGGGTTCATCAAGAAGCTGCATAGAAAAAAACCCCACGTTGATACACATTACATGATACAAACATTTATGCATGTGCACATTTTTTAGTAAATTAATATACATTTATCAAACACCATTGAGGCCTCACATTTTCATAAGAATATATATTACATTAAACATTTCAAAAATCAAGCTGCCAGCTATCACAACACACTGCATTCTTTCCTACACCAATACATCTATGCGCATCAGGAACATATATCTGTGCTCATGCCTATCTGCATATGTGCTAGTGTGTTGGTGGTATGGACCCCTGCATACACAAGCATGGTGGAAATCTACAATGATAAAGATTAAGGTTGGAAATTGAGTTGATCTCATCAGCAATCTAGTAATTCACTTAACACAGTAATAAGTCACCTTAGATGATAACTCAAAATTTCACTCCATTTATCCTCTTCATTGAAAGAAAAACTTTGTACTTCGCAAGAACTTACATTATTTTTTATGTTCAGTAATAAGATTGTAATACTCAATTGTTCCAAGGAAAATAAAAAATTCTGAAATGACTCTATCTTCACAGAAGTTTACTTTGCATGCATATTTCTTGATAGACCCTCATTACTACTTTTACTCTATTCCTTTTCTTCCTTTCTTTTTTTTTGTCAACCGAGAATTCCCTGAAGGCCAAACTATTCCTTTATCCCAGCATTCTCAAAATCTGGATAATTCCATGAAACCTTGATTTATTTACATCTTATAAACTTAATATCTTTGTCAAGCAAATAAAATCTTCTCTTGTGGGCACTCTTTCCACAAATCACCACTCAAGTTCCAGGCCCAAAAATCCATTCCCCTTCCATCATATACCTCAACTTCATGTTAAACACAGAGTTCCCCAATCACACATGAACGAACACGCATTGTTCAACAAACCCCTTGCTGTGCAATTATACAAGTGTTTAGGTCAGTGATCGTTGACAGCGTGATTGTCCGATAATGGGCCATTCAAGAAGACCTTTTTCTAAGTTCTAAGGCATATAAATAAGAACAAAAATACAAAAAATCCTTTTATCTTATAGGTATTATATAGTGTAAATAAAAATTTTCTTTTGGATGACCGTGGTGTCTAGACCAGCTTTCACATACCTCGACTAATTCTACGGGATACCTGCCACCTTCCTGCCACCGGCAAACAGGTAACTCTGTCCACAGAGACTAGGATAGATAGGAAGAATCATCTAGTGTTTTTGACTTGAACCTAAGACCTCATGCTCTCAACCATTTCATTGACGTAAATGAGAATAATCTATACAATTAATACCAGAACTACTTCATTGCCATAGAGGGAAACAAACAGTGATCTGGAAACTACTATTAAGTCAACTAGCAAAAATTCCAAAACTAACTTTCATCCACCAATTTGGACAAACTAATTCACCGATCCGCAATATTCAACGAATTGAAAAGTGCTGAGCAATAAATTAAACATTCAATAACGCACATGTATATGCTTAACTCAAAACAGACGGCGGCAAGGAGAAGTGGAACAGCTTGAAATCAGAGCCAACAGCGACGGCGGTGGGTGACTGGAGAAGGTTTTCGACGGCGTCGTATTTTTATCACCTACTTATCTGACAGCGAAGAGAAATAGAATAACTAGGAATCGGAGGCAACGGCGGCGGTCGGTTATACACGGCGGCGTATTGTGTCTCCGACTTGTATGCTTATTCGTCTCAGTCTCGTCTCTATCAAACTCTTTGACAGATCGAAACAAATCCAATGAACTTTGCAATATTTATCCAGAGATCCTTATACTTTCAGTTATTTTCTTTCTCCGTCATTACGTCGTTACGTATCTAAACATCCGAAATTTGGCACTTTTTCCCCAAATCTTACTCTTCACTTCACTACGGATAATGTTATCCTTATTTATTATAGTAGTTAAAAAAAAAAACTTTTGAGATATCTGAAATACTACTATATCGAGATTTTAAAAAAAAAAAATCAAGTTACAAAAGACTATTTACATCCATTTCTCTAAAAAAAAAAAAAAAGGGATATTTATAAAAGAATTATCATAGAAGAATAAAAACAACTTATTTTTTAAACAATTATCATGAAAACATTATTGATATTTCTCGAAGGTGGGTGGAGAAAAGATTTTAGTAAAAACAAAGATTATAAATATGTAGTTATACGTGCTGCTAATTGCAGTTATTATTATAAAGCTTACTTAACAGGATAAAAATTTGATTAAATTAAATTAATAATATAGTTTCTTTATAACAAGTACTTAACTTTAAAAGTAATGAAAGATAATTTACCATTCCTAACAAACAAGGACAAATAGCTTCTTTTGTCCTTGAGTTATTGTTTTATTCCAATTTTGATCTTTAAATTGTTTGGTTAAGCACATAATCAATCTAAATGTGTTTTTTTTTTCCTTTAAGCGCAGTAGCTACATAATTAGAAAATCTAGTAGTACTACTTTAGAAGTAAAAGAAAAGTGAAGAAGATGAATAAATAAACAGAAAGATTGATTAATTAGGTTAACATTGTTAATGTTGAACCTAGTAAATATTTTTATAAGTTAAAGAAAATAAAGTTGGGAGAACAAATTCATTAGCCAACACCATCCCGTTCCAAAAGCACGGATTCTATTAACTATTTAACATGAACTATTATTTTAAAAGAACAATATCACATACTTAGGTCAATTGAAGATTTAACGTGCATAACCAAATATCATGATGTTCAAAATCGGAATAAATTTAGACTAATTGAAGATGTAATATGCAATAGAACATCCGTACTTAGAATTTTCATTCAGAAATTTAAAGATGAATATTTACACATTGGTAAAAGTTGTCCAAATAATAATTTTAAAAAAAGGAACATTACTAACTAAACCAATCAACATATGACAGAAACAGCCCATCTGCCCCAAAGGCCACACATTGAACAGGTCTTCTAAACATGATGAGCCTTTTGCCCTTTTCACCTGCAGTTGCTAAATTACTCAATCATAACTCACTTTCCTGTTAGATTTTATCCCTGACCAGTTTACTCTAGCAGTAGCAGGACTTCTCTTCAATGCTTTTACATTCAATGGACTATCCTTGCTCTGTCAAACAAATAAATTTGATGAAAATCATGAGATGAGGGCTCGAGTTATCGCAGAAATTAAATAACAAAATGTTGCATAATTTCTTCTCAACTACTCAATGAAATTGTCTAGGTAAGCGCAAGCTGACCTGAACAGTATTGTTATTAAAAGTTTACTCTTTCTGTTTCATATTATTTGTAGTTTTTTGCTTCTCGAGTTTCAAACTATATGAACTTCAACTATTATATGTTTTCAGCATACTTGACTTTTGAAAGGAAAAAACAAACGCTTATTTTGGGAAGGAGGGAGTAAAATCTTACCATTTGACAAGTGCCTGCATTAACATCACAGACAGGATAATCATGTGGACAGCAGCTGTTGTTGTCATCACAGCAGGTAGCAGACTCATAAGGACAACATCCCCAGCCAAAACAGTAGTCGCCATACTTATAAATGCAGCAGCAAGTAGTGCCCTCGGTGCAGCTATAGTACTCATCGCAAACGGTTGATGGTGCTACAGGACTAGGAGGAGATGGACCGGGATTAGGAGGATTTGCGCCATTCTTAAGAGGGTAAGAGGGCTCCATTGCAATTCCACACTTTCCACTAGTGCTATTAGCTAAATTACGCTCGAGCCTAATGTATCCACTTTCTCCCCAGTTAGGACCCCATGAATTCCTCACAATCCAGTAATCTGAACCATTATCTGTTCCGTAGCCAACTGCAACTACACCATGGTCTAATTGTGTTCCACAGTATCCAGTGAAAACGCCCTTCATGATTTGAAAAGGAAAAAAAAGTGTAAATGCTTATGTTAGTTTTATTAAGTAGAAGCCGTGATTGCAGATTATAGCCAATGGGTTTAGGCACAGACAATATATATTTTCAGAATTAGACATCCGACCACATACTAAAAGGGTACATTAAGAGAATTATTCTCATACCGAAGAGTAGTGCTGGAAAGCTCTGCCACCAGCTTCAATAGCAACACTAACTGGTTGATTTGACAATGCCTTCATCAATGACTTCTCATCATTTATGGGAACATCTTCATATCCATCAATGGAGACAACCCGGGCATTTTTCTGAAAGAACAAAATAATTTGTTAGCAGACCATAGTATAAGAAAACTTATATTGTAAAAGAATTTTGGATGTTTTCTAGAAAGTATGGTCTAACATACCCTGTTTGAATCACAAGTACCATCTTTGGCACGGTAAGGATAGTCAGCCTCAGTGTCAATGCCACCGTTGTTTTTAATGAATTCAAAGGCATAGTCCATGAGACCGCCATTACAACCCTGGTTATAGCTCTTGTCACAATCAACAAGCTCTTGTTCAGAGAGGGAAATTAATTCACCGGTTACAATTTGATTTATTCCTTCAACAGCACCAACCGTCGAGAATGCCCAGCAACTCCCTTCATAAGAAAAATATACAACTTCAGTCATAACACAGATATCTCACATGCTCAATCAATATATATATATATATATATATATGAGTTTCATCATAATCAAAGAAAGATTAAACAGCAATCAACTTGAAGATTTGACAAAATAGGTCAAACACAACATAAAAATCAAAACTTTTGACCTAAATAAGACTCTTGTCAACACTCCATTGAAAGTAAAAATATAAAAAAACTCACCGCATTGGCCTTGGTCTTTAACAGGGGCAACAGCACCTTTCTGTCTCCAATCAACGGATTCCGGCAGCTCTTCGCCGGCCTTAAAAGCGTAACGTTCGCTTTTAGGGTTCTTCAACAGCCTCGTCTTTTTATCGAACCGTCCACCCACGAACACGGCACGGTACTCATCGTTGGTAAGATCAGAAAATCGATTCAACCCAAGTTTATACGGTCTGGTTTCAGCATTTTGCTCGTCGATGAATCTTAAATTATCCTTAAAAATTTCAAATCTTTTTTCCTTTTCTCCAATGGCATTGTAATTCTTTCCATGCTTAACAATCCAAGATTCATACAATCCCTTAACTTCATCGTCTGTACGATGACTAGTTACCCCTAAATCTGCATGTTTTTCATCATAACTGATGATGGACATGTCAAGAGCAGATGAAAGGACAAAAAATGTAAGAAGAAAGAAGAACAAAGGCCTGAAAAAAGTCATATTTTTTCTCTTTTCTTTGTTTTAATCTTCTTTCTTGTTTGTTGTTTGGGTTATTGGAGAGAATGGTGAGAAGTCTATAGATAGAAACAGAGTTTATATTGGAGGGGGGAAGAGAGGTAGAGACCAACTCAAATAAGAATATTGTGATTTAATGGGTAAAAATGATTTTAAATATTGTGATTAATGCGTAAAAATAATTTTTAATATTGTGATTAATGGTGGAATGGTAAAGAGAAAATATATGAATTTGAGGATATTTGGGGTGTGTGTCTAAATACATAGAATCCATCTCCGTTGAAATAGGGAAAATACAAGTTTCGTGCTATTCGTGAATTGTGTGAACCTTTTAAATTATGAAAATCTTGACCATTCTTATTGTTGTTGAATTGTAATTTGTAATTATCCAAAAGTTAATTACTTTTATGATATTTTTCATTTTATTAGTACTTGTTTTGCTTCAAATTCAAATCAGTTTTTTACGATTTACGAGTAGCTTATACGATCATCTTTCCCTGTTTCCATTTTTTTTGGTTAATTGATGATTTTACACGTCCAACCTAATGTCGAGGATTTAAATGTAATGAATTATAGGTTTATGATCTAATAGAAATAAAAATAATAATAATATACTCATTGTAATTTTTATTTTTTTTAAAAAAGAATATTGAGGGTGTAAAGACTTTGCCGTTGTTCCCTTTTCTTCTAGTGCACGTATTCCTTTCATAGTTGAACTGTCTCGACTCACTCTTTTTCCTTTTATATACTTATTTTTTAAGTTCATATGCATTTTTAGTATGTTGCGATCCTTTTATTCAAGAGTTTCCAGAGAGTTCGGAACCTAAATAAGTCACAAAAACATAAAAATGACTAAAATAAGTCATTGCTTTAGTAAGTAACTAAAATAGGCTTAGTGGAAGAAAAAATTCTATTTTATCTGATATTCTAAACGTTTTTCATTAGTCTCATAACATGTATATTTTAATATATAACGGAACTATTTCCTACACTTTATAAAATGGAACTATTTCTTACACTTTATAAAGTGTAAGTTTTTCTTACACTTTGTAAAGTGAAACTTTTTCTTCCACTTTATAAAGTGAAAGAAAATCTTACACTTTATAAAAAATTACTTTACCTTTTCACTTTCTTCTTCTCCCCTCTCACTTTCATGGCTTCCAAACTTCACTTTGAAGTTAATAGTTGATGGTCCCAATCCGACAATTGAAGCAGCCCTACACTAAAAAATCAAAATCTTGAAAGATTGGCGTAGCACAACCTGACAACATAACAATCCGACCCAACAAATTATATAAATTAGGTAATTTTTTTCCAACTCATATTTTCATCACTTTAAAATGATGTTGTAATTTGTTCAAAATTTCAGCAAGTCTTATACAATGTGCATGCAATTACTAAATATTGAGTTAGAAAAAAAGTCTATAATTCGAAATAAACAAAATGAATTACACTGTTGGATTGGTATTGCAAAATTGTATTTCACTACAAGAGAACAGGTCATTAGCGAGAGACTAAATCCCTAGTTAACTTACAAAATTCCTAGCTAACATCGTTTTTGCTAGGAAAATGACCGTAGCAACCTTTTGTAGCTAATACGCTCTTAGCAAAAATTTTGTTAGGAAAACGTTGTTAGCCTAGCTAATTTAGCTAGAATATTTTTCTAGGAAACATATCCAAGCAAATAATAGCTAAGATTATACCTAGGTAACTTCATAGCAAACAACTCTCTTTTGCTTGGATATTTTTTAAGCTAATATGTAAACATCCTAGCTTTTTCTTGGCTTGATTTGATATGTTTTCATGACCCCTAGCTTACTTTTAGAAGCAACCAAAATTACTTAAATTTCACATATCATGAAATAAAAAATTGAATCCATTCAAATTACACTAATTCATTAACTATACTTGCGCATTTATTTGCACCACCATTTCAAAATGGTATGTCCTTCAGAAATGAAAAACATGTATACAAATAAAATCGAACATATCTAAAGTTTAAAAACATAAAAATTAGCTCCATGTCAACTTAAGCTCAAAAACATCAATATAAGCTCCTTGTTGGCATTGTCCTCCAACTTAATGTCTTCAGCTCCATTTGTTGGCATGTTTCTTCAAATTTAATGTCTCCTTATAGTACTTCAATACCAATTCATCCCTTGGTGTAGAAATCCCATCAACCTTCTCCTTAATAAGTTTTTTATAAATGTGTTCTGGAAAAAAAAAAGATAATTAGTCATTTTGAATAATAAAATAAATCAAATAACAAGTAAAGAGACATAAATAATTTGAACTAAGCAAATTGGTCTAATGAAGTATACATTAGATTATTTTACAGGTTTTAACAGAAGAAGAATGACACATTATTAGTAAAAGGAATCAAACACCAAAAGATTAAAGACACCAACGAGTATACTACTAAATTTTTATTGAACATTTAGGCAATAATGTATGAACAAAGAAGATATTTTGGGAGGCTTTCATACCATGTAAACTCACACGAGTTCTATGTTTTTGTAAACTTTTTTACTTTGGATAATGAAAGGATGAAAATTATTTATTTAGAAAAAAATAACCATGTTTTTGGTTCACATGGATATCTTAAGGATGTACTTCAATTCGTGGGTATACCTTGGGAATGTTATTGGCCAAACATTCCATTTTAAACAACAACTTTCCAGAATAAAAAGTCAGCACCATTTCATACCCCATCATATAGAGAAATTTCTTTTAATTTTGGACAGAAGTATACAATTAGTTGGATAGCATATTCTCAAACATATTAAAGAAAGACACAATATATAATATGCCCTTTAACTTAGCTTGAGGTGGCATCTACACCCTTTAATTTTTGTCAGCACAAGTAAATACTTAAACTTGTATCAAGTTAAATAAACTTGTATCAAGTTAAATAAACTTGTAAACGCGTCTTGCGTGATATAATACACATAGGACACCACGTATGATGATGTGTAGGATGTGAATTGCTATGTAGGACGTCAAGTAAGACACATGTGTTTACTTGTTCAGCTCTATATAAGTTGAAGTGTCTGTTTGTGCGCAACCAAAGTTGGAGGGTGTAGACACAAAATGAAGCCAAGTTAAAGGCATGTTTATGTATTATTCCATAAAGAAAATAACTATTATCACTTCTAGTTCCTACTAATTACCGAATAAGGACTAGAATAACAAGTACTCTTTCCATTAAGTAAAAACATAGTATTATCAGTATATCACCAAAACCAAAGCACATCAAAATAAAGCTTAGCAGAGATGCAAATCAAAATTTTTATGTAGTGGCAATAAATATTAACTCCTAAATAAATTGAACCATAACCTAAGTCCTTGAAATGAGAAACATAAGTGAAAGTCGATCCAAATCTAAAAACAAAAGTCAACACCATTCATTCTTCAACTCGTATTAATTTTAATTTAGTTTACTTTTCTACATCCTTATTAGGAACACTAAATGCTTACCAAGCCCTACATTAACTAACATAATTACAACATAAAATCTATACAACAAAGAAACAAGTTAAATAACATAATTACTACATAAAATCTATACAACAAAGAAACAAGTTAAAGAAGTACAAGGATACTATGAGCACAAGAAAAGAAAAAATTCTATGATATTTGATCAAACATTTTATAATGAAGCAATAATTCAACAATAAATAATTTAAATACACTAAGAAACAAACCTTAAATATTGTTAGGCCACAGCTCCAATGTTCCTTGGCATATGCTCCCATTCTTGTTTATGTTTGGATTGAGGAAAACCTTTTGTCCTAAATCCTTAGCTGCATGGACTCTTCAATTTTGATGTTGCATCCATATCAGATTCTCCAAAAATACTCTACTATTCGTTTCTGTTCAAAAAGTCCAATTTGCAAGCCTGACATGAGGCTAGGGAGATTCAAGAAATATTGAACATCACTGAAAGACTTGGCTACATCGTAGTATAGCACATAAAAGAACTATATAAGATAGAATCAAACACATAATAGAGAAGTTGAAGAAAAGTGCCACTAGATGGAGATTCCTTGGAGACAGTTCCTTTAATTAGCTTAAGATAAATAAATCCACCAATAATTTGTCAATGCACATTTTTATAATTTAACAATTAAAAGTTTTTTTTTTCAAATGTATTTAATCAAATTGATGAATAGAGAACAAACCATCTAAAATTCAACCTAATATACAAATCACCATAACCAACTTACAAATCATCTGCAAACATAAGATAAAAAAATATTCTTCAGTACGTTGAAGGAAAGAAAAATTGTTTTAACACAATTCAATAGCATAACTTCTTCATATAACCAGCAGCATGTCCCATAGCAAATGCAACACTTTTTATTTCATAATTAATTATCCGCAACAACATATGATTAGGTTTAGATAGAGAGTTATGAATAGAAAAGATTAATGAGATGGAATGAATTAGAAATTGGTACACCAAAATCTTTGAGATAAAACGTTACTGGTACTCATTGACTAGCAGAATGTCAAGGTCTGCATTGCTCTAGTTCTCTAGTACGCACCATTTAAATCTATTTGACCATATACAATCCCTAATTGCAAAATTAATAGAATTTTTCTTACAGAATATAATGGAGCGTGTTGTGAATCCTAGACCGATTGATCGTACACGTCTTCTCTCTCAACATGAGCATAAATCAGAATTGTTATAGAAAGGTGAGATATCATTTAGTAGCCTTATGAGGACGGTGCGCATGAATGATGCCTGTAATTTATTTCGTTTACATCGACCTCATGGATGTGTTGAGGAGATCTTACGTAAGTCAGGACTATATGATGTAGTTTGTGTGGGCAGGATGCAGTATGAGTGTGCCCTTGTTACAGCTATGGTTGAGCGTTGGAGGCCAGAGACTCATTGCTTCCACTTACCTTTTGGTGAGGTCATGATTACATTACAGGATATGCATTCTTGTTTGGTTTACGCATCGATGGTGATGTTGTGTACATGCAG